CACTGGATGCAACAAATGCCTCGTTTGTAATGGGTTTTAATGTTTTTGTCTCATCGCTCCGGCCGGGACACGGCATCAACAGTATGTGAGGGGCGTAACATTTCTGTGTCACGCTTGAGGTATTCGGCCAATCACAACGCACTGGATAGCTGGCCAATCACAGCACACCTCGCTTTTCAGAACGATGAGCTTTGTAAAAATCGACCGGGGCATAGAGGAGAAACAATAATGTACAGTATGTGGAAAATAATGTGTTTTTTGGAACCTTAAACCACATAAACACATTTCATTACACCAAATACACAAAATAATGTTCTTTTTAGCAGCATCATATGACCCCTTTAAAATACTAAAAAGTTGTTATTGCTCACACTAGCAGTGGTTTCTCAGCTGTCTCTGAACTCTTTGCGTCTCTCTCAGGTGTGTCAGAAGTCTGGAGAGATCTCACTGCTGAAGCAGCAGCTAAAGGACCTGCAGGCCGATCTGGCGCAGCGCATCGGTGAGCTGGTGACGTTACGCAGACAGCTGCGAGAGGTTCGTGCCGAGCTGCAGACGTGTCAGAGTCAGCTGCAGGAGGCGCACACGGCCTCACACACACGGACGCTGGAGCTCGAGGTCTGCGAGAACGAGCTGCAGCGGCGCAAGAGCGAGAACGAGCTGCTCCGGGAGAAAATGAGCCGTCTGCAAGACGAGTCGTCTCACCTGCGCGCCGACGATCAGCGGCTGGCCGGCGAAAGCGAGGAGCTGAAGGCGGAGCTCGCTTACGAAAGCCAGCGCTTGTCCGATCAGGCGTCTGCGTTCGAGAGCGAGAGAAAGAGCTGGGAGGAGGAGAAGGATAAAGTGATTCGATATCAGAAACAGCTGCAGCAGAACTACGTGCAGATGTACAAAAGGAACCGAGCTCTGGAGCGATCGCTCCGCCAGCTCAGCCTCGAGCTGGAGTCCCGAGAACAGGACGACGACAGCAGCGGAAACGAAGTCACGTTCGACGACATCGTTGCGACCGAGATCTGAAACATCGTCATAAAATGCAACTAAGTGCTGAGTTAGGGGCCGTTCACACAGAACGCGTTTGAAAGAGGTGAGACATGGGCAGTGGAAGGCCTTGAGTTGAACTTTAACTCGAGCGCCACATTTTTAGAAAGCTGTTTAATGTGCGAGACTGCAAAAGACGCAAGACGTGAGTGCAAAGGTCAAACACATCCGTCTAGCACAGAAAACCAATGGAATAGTGGCACAGCGGAATGAAAAAGACACTTTCTGTGTGAACGGCCCCTAATCGACTGCACACAGCACTGTTTTTAAGTATGTTTAATGTTTATGTGGCCCAATAATTGGTGGAACTTCGTTAAATCAACTCTGTGTCATTAATTGTTTTGGACACATGACACAGTTTGTTTGCAAACTCACAGAAGTGCACTTTTGTGTCATTAGCTACATTTCCATCCAAAGTTGCGAATTAAACTTGGAATATCACATTAAAACATTTGCAAATAAAGCACCATTTCCATCAAGAGAAAAAAATCTTTGGCGCAAATAACTTAAAATAATACTATTAAAGAGTTGTTGCACATCAGAGTGAAACGTTGTTCTGTTACGTTCGGATGCTTGACGTTTGGGACGCAATCATGTGAGACACTTCTGAAAGGGAATTATACTAAATCATTTTGAGACTCATATGATGGCGTTTTAGTGCCACGTAAAAATAAATAAATAAATAAAAATTAACATTATGAGAATAAAGCCGTAGCATCGTGAGATTAAAGTCGTAATATTTTGAGAATAAAGTCAAAATGACCAGAACAAAGTTGTAGCAATACGAGAATAAAGTCGTAGAAATACAAGATTAAAGTATTGTAAGATTAAAGTTTATATATTTTGAAAATAGTCGTAGCATTGTGCGATTATTCTCAAAATATTACTTTACTCTTTCATCGCACAATGCTACGACTTTTCTCATAATTTTGACTATTTTCAAAATAAATAAAATTTTAGTCTTACAATACTTTAATCTTGTATTTCTATGATTTTATTCTTGTATTTTTCAAAACATATAAACTTTATTCTCAAAATACTACGTATTTCTACAACTTTACTCTCATATTGCTGTGACTTTGGTAATTTTGACTTCATTCTCAAAATATTACATCTTTAAAGTCAAAATCACCAGATCTAAGTCACAGAAATGCAAGATTAAAGTTGTAATATTTTGAAAATAAAGTAAAAAAAAAAACTGTTGCTGTAGCTTCTATGCGAGAAATTGACTTTTTTTTATGTGGCACTAAAAGCTGTCATTGACTCAGGCATTTCAGAACGACTAAAACAGTATTTGAGATGGTGTGTGATTGGTCTGCTGGTTAGTCCAGTTATCCAATCAACACAATGTGACAAATTCATGTGTTTTTGTTGCACATTGAGGAATTTATTCTGATCGTAGCTTAAAGGTGACATATCATGAAATCTGACTCTTCCAGGTTTTAAGTGCTATAATCAGGTCCCCGGTGCATCTAACTACCAAGGAAACGTGAAAAAGATTAACCCAGTAACTTTGTTTTGGGAAGCCTTTTTCTGCAAGCGTCTGAGAAAACGAGCGCGTCTGATTTCTCTCCCTTGGTGACGTGGTAAAGGGATCTCATTATAATATTACCGCCCCTTAATCTGTAAGTTTTACACCCATGACGCCATCATTTTGATTTCGCGAGCGACAACGGTGTAGCAGTCCTAAAGCCATGGCGAAAGTTTGAGCAAAACATGCTAACTGTTCTGTGTTTGGCTGCAGAGACGAGCACAGAACACTGTTTAGAGTCCCAGCCTCAGAGGAGACGAGAGAGCAGTGCATTTATTGATTTATTTACTGTATATTGCTGCTGCCACACAGATCTAAAATAAACATGCGATTTATTTCCCAGCTGTTTACCTTCACAGACATAACCCACTGTTTTAGTAACTCGTGTGTTTTTAACGTAAACTTGTGTGTGAATGAGAACTTAGTTTAGTGCTCGCATGCTGTGACAGCCGCTTTCTGTGCGTGTGCTTCAGATGTGTGCTCTCAGAAAACCTTATATCAGAAGTTTAAACTCATATGGTTTAAAACGCATGATTTCAGAGTGATAAACATGATAATCAGAACCAAAACAGATGTTTCAGCAGAGCTGTAAAGGCACAGCTCTATTCTGGAAAAGGGGGCGGGGAGCAGTAGCTCATTTGCATTTAAAGAAACAGGCACGAAAAACAGCGTGTTTCTGCTTCCACTCAAAATAGGCATTTTCAGAATGATATAATAAATGATCTGTGGAGTATTTTGAGCTGAAACTTCACAGACACATTCTGGGAACATCAGAGACTTGTATTACATATTGTAAAAAGGGGCATAATATGTCACCTTTAAGCACACGTTTTTGTGCCAAATAAAAAAACGCATCCATCTCAACTGAGCGCATCTGTTTTTTTCAAGCACATTTTAAGATTTTATGTGCATCTTGGCGTTTCCATCCAGCGGTTTATGCGATATCCCAAAATCTGCTACTCATCAGCACTGAGAGAGTTCTGCTCAGACAGTTATACTGCGATCGTGTCGTGTCAGAATTACTGTAACCGAGTGTCCAATTAGTAAACGCTGCTCATGTCTTTGTTGAACTCATAATTACAAAGTTAGGAACTCAAGCTGCTCTCATGTAAAAAATAAAATGGATTTTGTTCTTCAGTAGTTTAATGTATTTATTAAGTATTTTGCTCCTAATCAACTACAAAGCTGCACATGCATTCATACTGGTGTTAAAACATAATATATATATATATATATATATGTAACTCAATTAATTTCAGAGTTGAAGGACATGAGCAGCAAGTAGAATCTCTTGCGGTAATTTTGACACGAGCTGAACGCGGCGCTATTTAACACTAATGTGAGGAATATAAACTCTTCTTTCATAAAAGCTATTGACTGTTATATTTACATCAAAATAAACCCATTACTCCACACATTCGGTCACATAATACTCAATAATATATAGAAGCGCACCATATAGAAGCCACTGTGAATAGACCAAAGCCTTGCTTGTATCTTGTGGGTGATTGTGGCGGTATTGTAATTTTGTAATTAATTAACAGTATTTGTATGAAGCCAATACATTGTATATTTTTCGTGCTGTATATTTAATGTTCCTATGAGCTGTTTGTAATTAAACACCTGCAATGACTCACATTTAGTGGTATTTTATTCAATATTTACGTTCTTAAACAGCCTCAGCAAATATTTTATGAATACTGATCTTTGTAATAAATCAACTGTGTCACGTGAGCAATTAAACCAGGATTTATTCTAATTAACAAACAGGTTAAAGTTGCATTTTGTTGGATGTGATTTCTGAGGAACGTTCATGACTAAGAAATTCTACGACAAAGCATTATTAAAATAATGTTCATGGAACGTTCTTATAGCTTCATTAATGTTTAATATCGGTCTCAATGTTCTGAGATCATTCACAAAATGTTCTGATGTTATTTGCACTTGAAAGTTCTAAGAAACATTTAAATAACGCTCTTTAAAAATAAACTTTTAAATAATGTTATATTCTGGGAAAAAAATACAATTAGCAGAATGTTGTGAGAAACGTTTTTGTAACCTTTAAACAACATTCTAATCATGACAAAAAACTAGACATTTCAGTGTTTTAGAAACATTAAACAACGTTCCCACAATGTTCTTATAACCTAAATTTTTCTTACCAACCTGATTCCAGAACAATCTGTAGAACGCTACTGGATTTGTGGCCGTTCATAAAGCATGTTTTAAACACATATTCTGAGTTCAAGCTCAAGCGAATGTGACGTGAGTGAATCTCTCACCCCGCTGTGTTTTCATGAGACTCGCTCAGTCGCAGCGTTCGTTCTTCATTCTAGAATGAGTGTGGCTCTTCTCAGAGCCTAATACATACGGGTAAGGCACGGATCATGAGACTCTGGGAACTTTGACCACGAGCTTCATGGGGTTGATGATT